GGGGGGGGTTCAGTTTTTCCATATGAATTGAAATGTTTCAATGGGAGGACATCTGAAGGATTATTATCCAGCAGCTGTTTCTCTCTCTCTCTCTCTCTCTCTCTCTCTCTCTCTCTCTCTCTCTCTCTCCACCCCGCCTCTCTCTTTCCTCTCTCCCTCTCTCTCCCTTTCTTCCCCTTTGTCCCTCTCTCTCCCTCCCTCTCCCTTTTGCCTGGCTCCATCAACCTCCTGGCTTCTGAGCTACGTTAGCAACTGCCATTTCCATGATGATTACTGGGGCAGTACCAAGTCCCTTCCCCAGCCTGGCTATGGTGGGGGAAGTCTCTTTTCATTGTGGTTCAGCTGAGAGTAAAAAACAGACTTGTCCAAAGTAAGTTTATTGGAAAACTAGGAGGAAAATTGTGAATGTTTATATGTGTAATGAATGGATCTGTTAATTATAGTACCAAAAGCTAACAATTATTCAATATCTATTATGTGTCAGGCTCTATCCTAAGTGTTTGTGTGAGTGTGGGTTTTACAAGAAGCAGACACCAAGATGGTGTGTGCAAGAGATTAATTGAGGGAAATGCCTCTGAAAAATAAGTGGAGAGAAAGCAGATGTAGACAAAGAGAGCTCAACACCACCGTGCTGATCTGACATCTGTGAAAGGAAAGATGCAAGAAAGGGTTGGGTAGGAAGAACCACAGCCCCATTCTCAGTCTCAGCTAAGCCAACATGCATAGAATGAATCAAAGCTGCTCACTGGAGGATTCTTCCACTGGGCAGAAATAGGCTAACACTCTACTGGCAAGAATATTTATGAAGCCAAAATTGCAGTAAGTGCTAGATTATTAAAGACATTGAATGCCACAAAAGTAGTTTTAGTTCTTATATAATGGGGTGCTTCTGTAATATTCTGAGCAGATGTGACATGACTATAGAGTTGCTGTAAAAACAACTTCTTAGCAGCAATGTGAAGGGAAGTTTAGAGAGATTGAAACAAGAAGCAGAGATGAATGCAATAACCACATGAGACATGGTGAAGGTCTTGCAGGTTAAAAATATGTAATCAAAAAGAAAAAATCTTGCATGTGAACATACATTTCAGAACTTGATTCTGAAAATTTCTGAAACTTTCAAAAATTTCCAGCTTGTGACCTGTATAAATAAATATGCATGCCTCCAGTTTATAATAAGATACTTTACGCAAACATCAGCCACATGAAAATTAAAACCATCCAAACTCACAAGCTGCTTAGTATTTTATTGTCTATAATGATTGTTCGATTTATTAATATTTATGAATTTGCTTCCCCGGTAGATTTTCAGAACATTGTCTCTTCCACACACCACATAAAAACCTGATCTTGCAAGATGACCTTTCAGAATAACTTTTCATTCTTATGTAAATATAACACATTCTTATTTTAATTGTACATTTAATTCCACAGTAATATAAATCTCAAAATTATGCTGTTTATGCCTACATGACTCTAAAAAATATAATGTGAAATTTCCTTTCTTGTTCTTCAAATTCATACTGTTTTGTTTGCTATTATTAAATCCCAATTATATGCACAAAGATACTGTCTCCTGAGATACATTTACTTAATGAAGGTTACAGTGTTTATTCATGCTAATTGAGGCCTCAGACATATATCTGACAATCTGTGGTTGAGTTGTTTCTACATAATTCTAATGCATCATTTTTTAAATTCCAAATGTAGTATTAATTCCTAATGTAATATTATAATGTAATATTATATAATTTGTATTAAAATAGAAATCATATAATATCATAAAATATGATAGGACTGAAGTAGGCTTACTAATGATGAATGAGTTTATATTTTAACATTAAGGTATTAGCAATAACATCTTACAGACCAAAGTAACACGTTCTGTTAATTTCAAATATAAATAACCTCTGGAATTTATAGCATTTTGTGGCCTTTTTTGATCCTCATAAAAGACAGAAATGAAATATTCAATTCAGTGAGAATGATTTTCAGATGACAGTATAACCCGTGATTTTGCAATGGTTTGCTTTTACATATATCATCTTGTTTTTATTATCAATGGCCTCTGTATGCGAGTGCTACACTCCAATTTTATTGATGGGGAAATGGGCTTAGAGAGGCTAGATGACCTGCCCAAGGTCATTCAGTTAATTAACAGAGTGCCGAGAGATGAACGCAGCTGTTATAC